CTCTTATACACATCTAGATGTGTATAAGAGACAGGTACCGCACAACAAAAAAAAAAAAAAAAAAAAAAAAAAAAAAACACAACAACAGTTACTGCAAGGACAAACAATATCGAAGTACACGCACGGAAGGAAGGAAGAAAAATAAACAACAAAGAACAAAAACAAATAAACATAGCAATAAGAAAAGGTGGAATAAATTCGAACGACAACAGTATCATCATCGCCGTAGCCAAAGAAAGGAGTCCGAGGAAAGTAGAGGGGAAGAAGAAGAAGAAGCGGAGGCTCACCTGAAGAAGATTTACGGCCCCCCCTAACGAAATGGAAGTGATCTCGAAAATGCTAACGTCAAGTCGAATACGTACCCTTTCCCACGCGACATGAGTTATATAGGGAAGGTGGCGGGTGATATGCCAAGATGGCGACGGCGGGGGGAAGGGGTAACAGAGACGGGAGGTGGTGGGGTTCTCCACCCTTGTTACTTGGTAGATCAAAGAGAGGTGAGAAAGGGCTTCGCTCCACTACACAACACTGTACATGCATTTGGTCGCTTTCTGGACCAGATGCATTGGGACGACTCCAGCAGTTTGAATGTATCAGGTCCAAAAAGCGTCCAAATGCATGTATAGTGTTGTGTAGTGGAGCGAGACCCAAAGCCATGGAGGAGGATGCATCCGACAGCAAACGGGTGGTTGTAAAAGCAAGATAATGAATGTGTTTGACATTACGACAACTGTTGCTTTCTTTTGCAATTTATGTCTTGAACTGTTGTACAAGGGTCGGATTCATCACAACATACGGATTATCTGATCTAGGCTGTAATGAATCTGATATACGCGTTAACCACCAGTATCGGATTCGTTACAACATACAGGGTTTTAAAAAAAGAAAAAAAAAAAGAAAAAAAACATACAGGCCCATTACAGGGTAATTATATACGCGTTAACCATGTTTGAACTCTTAGGGCATAGGGCCTCGCTGCACTACTCTGCACATGCACAAAAGACAAAAAATATGGTGGTGCATCTTTCCATGTTCTAGCAGAAGATTCGTTCTCATTTTGCACATTTGGAGAGTAGTGCAGCCAGGCCCATACTCGCACAGCGGTGGCATAGCAGCAAAATCTGCGAATTTTGCGATGGATTAATAGCAAAAATATTGCTTTTTCCAAGTTTCGCAGCAAAAATGTCGTCCAGTCGAAGTTTCCTTTGCAAAAATAGAGTTTCGTTGCAGCTTTATAGGGTTCCCATAGTTTGCCAGCAAAAATACCGCGTTTTGCCCAGTTTCACAGCGAAGGACAGCTAGGCCTCTGGCCTCAGCGACTCAGGGACTCAGCGTTCTGGCCTGAGGCACTCAGCGTTCTTTTTTTTTTTTTTTTTTTTTCCCGGTATGGCCGACGCATCTGGGCCTGCCCACGGCCGAGATGCCTCGGCCACGGCCGCGGGGGGAAAAAAAAGAACAACAAGAAACGTGGCGGAGGCATCTCGATGCCTCCGCCACACCCGCGGGAAAAAAAAAAAAAGGGAAAAAAAAAAGGGAAAAAGAAAAGCTGAGTGCCTGAGGCCAGAACGGTGAGTCCCTGAGTCCCTGAGGACAGAAGGCTAGGGGTCCTTTGCTGTAAAACTTGGCAAAATGCCCTATTTTTGCTGGCAAACTAGGGGAGGGTGACTGTCAGGCATCGTGGATTTGGCAGGAAATCAGCGGTCGCCTGTTTTTGTGAATCAAGCCCGGGAAAATGATGTTTTCTTTTGCTCTCCCATTGGTTGGTTTTTCTTTTGTTTTTGTTGTTGGGGTCCTGTGGCTGTTCCAAAAGTGCGTGAAATCACAGACGATTCTTTTGGTTCGTGAAATCACACACGTTTCACTCACGGCGAAGGCAAAGACGAATGGCTTCATCGCTGGAAATTGATTGTGGTTTGGGAGGTGTTTGGGAGGGTTGGTGTATGGAGTTACTCTTGTCCTCCTTTGCCAAGGAGAATTTCCGTCAGAACAACCAAACAGCGTGCACTGCGGCCTATTTCAAGGAAGCCTCAGACTATTGTCAATGAATACAGTCTGTGTGCCCACCCACATGCAGTCTTCTTGACTGCCACAGCCATGGTCAGTGAATCATACCCTGACATCTGACACCCTGGCTGGAGCAGACACCATCTGTGAGAAGAGCACTTTCTTTTCTTTATTAGCAGTTTTTTCTTTATTTGTTTGGTCATGAAATGTTTTTTTGCGTTTATTTTCCCTATTTCACTTTGCCATTCACCTGTCCCTCACCCGTCCCACACCCGTCACACTAATCCACATACATGGCTAGTGGGATCTCCCTCCGGGAACCCGATAAAGCTGCAATGAAACTCTATTTTTGCAAAGGAAACTTCCGACGGACGATATTTTTGCTGCCAAACTTGGAAAAGGCAATATTTTTGAAATTAACCCTTTTGTGATCCCGATTTTGCTGAAATGCCACCCCGCCTGGTCGCAAAGCGGCAGCAAACGAAAGACAGGACGCCGACCGTCTGGCAATTGCCAAAATGGTGCCTAGCGTGGTCACACAGGGCGAGGGGCAAATCCTTGACATTTGATACCCTGTTTGCTGCTTTTGCCACTTTCCCTTCCTCGTGCGACTGGCCCAACCATCAAATTTTAGCGATTTGAACACCTCTGCCCCCGATCCGAAGTTTGTTTTTTTCCGTACCTCGTTCTCCGAACCTTTGTGATGCGAGTCAAACGAACAGGCAACTATAAAAACGACCGGATTCAGACGAGTCGAAACGATTCCACCCCGATTCAGGGCATAGGGTCTCGCTCCACTACTGTCTGCTATACAGCACTTCGTATAGAGGCTGTATAGCTGTCAGAGGTAAAAAAATCATATAGACTGTGGCATGGCTCCACTCCCTATCTGCTATACAAGTCTCCAATTCCTGAGTTCACTACAAAATACGCAAACAGCACTACACGACAGCAATTTGTCCAGGTGCTCCATATGATTTGGTGGTAGAACGCCGACCTGCTTCGACCACCCTCCGAGTAGCGACTAACGACTTTTGCAGGCTGGGAACTATACGGGATCGTATGGTGAATTTGGAGGGCGCCATCCGAAACTATAAGGTGATTTCCGAAGGTACATTTCCGATAGTAAGCAGAGCGGTGTCCCACTATCCGAAATCGTACAGCATATAGTAGTGGAGAGAGACCCATACTCACACTGCGATCCCAGCTCCGGAAATCCGCATTTTTAGCAGATTTGGGAAAGGCCCATTTGTGGTTGTGGGCAGGGTGCTGGTCACACCAATTCATAATTTCTGATAGGGCGACGTCTCGGCCTTGTGGAGAAAAGGGGATTTGAGGCCTCGATGGTGACACAGCACCAGTCGTAAATTCTCCCGATTTTTTTTTTTTCTTCTTGTGATTGTCTTGCATTCTGCACATCCGCAATTGTCGCCCTTCAATTGACAATCTCGGAAGAACTTCTGTGAACGATTTTTGCCCAATTTCCAAAGAAAATTCAAAAAAAAAATAGTGCACTTGCGGTCACCTCAGAGGTGACCGTCAAATCCCTTGCCCAGCAGCCTGGGCCTCCCAGGCCGCTGACAAATGGGTACCCGAATAGTGCATTTGAAATTTTAGCGAATCTGTGTGACTAGCCCTCTACCGTTTCTTTTGGGGATTTTGGGATCATAGGTCCTAGTGTGAGGCCATACTCACACTCGACACAAATTTCACAAAAATCACAGATTCTGCGGGGTGAGGGCCTGGTCTGTGAAACCGTTTCAGCGCGCTTAAAGACCCCCCGGCCGCGTTCAAACGCGCTCAAAGCGTTTTGAGGCGCGCAGGCTCGTTAAAAGAAGTGCCTGCGCACGCCATGGGGTCTGTCTCTTATACACATCTAGATGTGTATAAGAGACAGCCCCACGACCTCCTGAATGTAACTTATGTGCCTTACCTCACCAGTACGTGCTTGTGCGCTACTCCACTGCGCTGTGGATGTACCCGGTCCAAAACGGAGTTCGGATGCACTCATATTCTGCGTTCCGTGCTCGACTCCACAGCGCAGTGGATGTATCTATCCCAAAACAAGTTCGGATGCGTGTCGGACCTGCCCACGGTCGGACCTGCCCACGGTCATTTGCGGATGCATCCACGGTCGTGGAGACAGCTTGGAGATGGGGGAGACGAACACTCTCCATGCATCTGGGAAGAAAACCGATAACTATTCATGGGGGTGCCTTTCCATGCCCGCGTCTGAACTGTCGAAAAGCGGACGCTCCATGGCCAGCTGCTCCTGCAAATGGCTGCTAACATGGGCGCCATCGCC